ATGGACAGGTCAATCAGACAGGAACCTAACAGAGAAATAAGAGAACTAGTGGAGGTAATGAATCAAATGGACTTAACAGACATCTATAGAACATTCCATCCAAATAGGAAAGAATATACCTTCTTCTCTGCAGCTCATGGAACCTTCTCGAAAATCGACCACATAGTCGGTAACAAAACAAACATCCACAGTTACAAAAAAATATTAGTAACCACCTGTGTCTTATCAGATCACCATGGATTAAAGTTAGAATTCAACAATAATGCTACCCCCAGAAAGCATACAAAGTCATGGAAACTGAACAGTCAACTATTGAACCATAGCTGGATTAAGGAAGAAATAAAGAAAGAAATTAAAGTCTTCCTGGAATTCAATGAAAATAAAGAAACAACATACTCAAACTTATGGGACACTATGAAAGCAGTCCTAAGAGGAAAGTTCATAGCACTAAGTGCCCACTTAAAGAAAACAGAGAAAGCTCACATTGGAGACTTAACAGCCCACCTGAAAGCTCTAGAAAAAAAAGAAGCAGACTCACCTAGGAGGAGTAGAAGACTGGAAATAATCAAAATGAGGGCTGAAATCAACAAAATAGAAACACAGAAAACAATACAAAAAATCAATGAAACAAAAAGCTGGTTCCTGGAGAAAATCAACAAGATTGACAAACCACTATCCAAGCTAATCAAACGGCAGAGAGAGAATTTGCAAATTAATAAGATCAGAAATGAAAAGGGGGACATAACCACAGACACAGAGGAAATTCAGAGAATCATTAGATCTTACTACAAAAGCCTATATGCCACAAAATTGGAAAATGTAAAGGAAATGGATACTTTTTTAGATAAATATCATATACCAAAGTTAAATCAGGACCTGGTGAACAATCTAAATAGACCTGTTAGTCGCGAAGAATTAGAAGAGGTTATCAAAAACCTCCCTACCAAAAAAAGCCCAGGACCAGATGGTTTCAATGCGGAATTCTACCAGATCTTCCAAGAAGATCTAATACCTATACTCCTTAATGTATTCCACAAGATAGAAACAGAAGGGTCATTACCAAACTCCTTTTATGAAGCCACAATTACTCTGATACCAAAACCACTCAAAGACTCAACCAGGAAAGAGAACTACAGGCCAATCTCACTCATGAATATCGACGCAAAAATCCTCAACAAAATACTGGCAAATCGAATCCAAGAACACATCCGAAAAATTATCCATTATGATCAAGTAGGCTTCATTCCTGAGATGCAGGGCTGGTTCAACATACGAAAATCTATCAATGTAATCCAGCATATAAATAAACTGAAAGAAAAAAACCATATGATCATTTCATTAGATGCTGAAAAAGCATTTGACAAAATTCAACATCCATTTATGTTAAAAGTCTTGGAGAGATTAGGGATACAAGGGTCATACCTAAATATAATAAAAGCTATATACAGCAAGCCGACAGCTAACATCAAATTAAACGGAGAGAAACTCAAAGCCATCCCACTTAACTCAGGAACACGACAAGGCTGTCCACTCTCCCCATACCTCTTCAATATAGTGCTTGAAGTTCTAGCAATAGCAATAAGACAACATAATGGAATCAAGGGGATTCGAATTGGAAAGGAAGAAGTTAAACTTTCGTTATTTGCAGATGATATGATAGTGTACATAAGCGACCCCAAAAACTCCACCAAAGAACTCCTACAGCTGATAAACAGCTTTAGTAATGTGGCAGGATACAAGATCAACTCCAAAAAATCAGTCGCCCTCTTATACACAAAGGATATGGAAGCAGAGAGGGAAATCAGAGAAGCTTCACCATTCACAATAGCCAAAAACAGCATAAAATATCTTGGGGTACATCTAACCAAGGAAGTGAAAGATCTATTTGACAAGAACTTTAAGGCATTGAAGAAAGAAATTGAAGAGGATACCAAAAAATGGATGGACCTCCCTTGCTCTTGGATTGGGAGGATCAACATAGTAAAAATGGCAATTCTACCAAAGGCTATTTATAGATTCAATGCAATCCCCATCAAGATCCCATCAAAATTCTTCACAGATCTGGAGAGGACAATAATCAACTTTATATGGAAAAACAAAAAACCCAGGATAGCCAAAACAATCCTATACAATAAAGGATCTTCTGGAGGCATTACCATCCCTGACTTCAAACTCTATTACAGAGCCACAGTAATGAAAACAGTGTGGTACTGGCATAAAAACAGAGAAGTCGACCAATCGAATCGTATAGAAGACCCGAATTTTATCCCACAAACCTATGAACACCTGATTTTCGATAAAGGAGCTAAAAGTATAAAATGGAAGAAAGAAAGCATCTTCAACAAATGGTGCTGGCACAACTGGATGTCATCTTGTAGAAGAATGAAAATAGACCCTTATCTATCACCGTGCACAAAACTCAAGTCCAAATGGATTAAAGACCTCAATATCAGCCCGAACACACTGAACCTGATAGAAGAGAAAGTGGGAAGTACCCTACAGGAGCTGGGCACAGGAGATCGCTTCCTATGTATAACCCCAGAAGCACAGACATTAAGGGCAACATTGAATAAATGGGACTTACTTAAACTGAGAAGCTTCTGTAAAGCAAAGGACATAGTCAATAAGACACAAAGGCAACCTACTGATTGGGAGAAGATCTTCACCAACCCCACAACAGACAAAGGTCTGATCTCCAAAATATATAGAGAACTCAAGAAACTAGACTTTAAAATGCTAATTAACCCAATTAAAAAATGGGGCACTGAACTGAACAGAGAATTCTCAGCAGAGGAAGTTCAAATGGCCAAAAGACACTTAAAGTCGTGCTCAACTTCCTTAGCAATCAGGGAAATGCAAATCAAAACAACTTTGAGATATCATCTTACACCTGTCAGAATGGCTAAAGTCAAAAACACCAAGGATAACCTTTGCTGGAGAGGCTGTGGAGGAACGGGTACCCTCATCCATTGCTGGTGGGAATGCCATCTTGTGCAACCACTGTGGAAGTCAGTGTTTCGGTTTCTCAGGAAATTCGGGATCAACTTACCCCTGGACCCAGCAATACCACTCCTGGGAATATACCCAAGAGAGGCTCTATCATATGACAAAAGCATTTGTTCAACTATGTTCATAGCAGTATTATTTGTAATAGCCAGAACCTGGAAACAACCTAGATGCCCTTCAATGGAAGAATGGATGAAGAAAGTATGGAATATATACACGCTAGAGTACTACGCTGCGGTAAAAAACAATGACTTCTCGAATTTTGCAGGCAAATGGATGGAAATAGAAAACACTATCCTGAGTGAGGTGTCCCAGACCCAAAAAGATGAACATGGGATGTACTCGCTCATAATTGGTTTCTAGCCATAAATTAGGGCCACGGAGACTACAATAGGTGAACCTAAAGAAGCTAAGTAAGAAGGTGAACCCAAGGAAAAACATATAGTTATCCTCTTGGCTAAGGGAAGTAGACCCAATTGCCGGGGAGAAAATTAGGATCTTGGGGGTGGGGTGGGATGGGGGTAAGGGGAGATGGGGAGAGAAAAGGTAGAAGGGAAGGAGGGGGGACTTGGGGAATCAGGAGAATTGGGATAAAGGAAAGGTGGATAGGGGAGCACGGAACCACAATTCTTAGTTAAGGGAACCACTTTAGGGTGAGCAAGAGATTTGACCCTAGAGGGGCTCCCAAGTGCCCAACATGAGGTTCCCAGTTAGTTCCTTGGGTAGCTGAGGATTGGGAACCTGAAATGACCCTATCCGAGAGCAATACTGACGAATATCTTGCATATCATCATAGAACCTTCATCTGGTGATGGATGGAGACAGAGACAGAGACCCACACTGGAGCACTGGACTGAGCTCCCAAGGTCCCAATGAGGAGCAGAAGGAGGGAGAACATGAGCAAAGAAGTCGGGACCACGAGGCGTGCACCCACCCACTGAGACAGTGGAGCTGATTGATCTACTGGGAGCTCACCAAGGCCAGCTGGACTGTGACTGAAAAAGCATGGGATAAAACTAGACTCTCTGACCATGGCGAACAATGAGGGCTGATGAGACGCCAAGGACAATGGCACGGGGTTTTGATCCTACTTAATGTGCTGGCTTTGTGGAAGCCTAGCCAGTTTGAATGTTCACCTTCCTAGATATGGACGGAGGGGGGAGGACCTAGGACTTGCCACAGGGCAGGGAACCTGGACTGCTCTGTGGTTGGAGAGGGAGGGGGAGAGGAGTGGGGGGAGGGGTAGAAGGGTGGGAGGAGGGGGAGAAGGGTGGGAGGAGGGGGAGGGAGATGGGAGGCTGGGAGGAGGTGGAAACTTGTTTTTTGTTTATGTTTTTTTTCTTCTTTTCTTAATAAAAAAATTATTAAAAAAAAAAATAAAAAAAAAAATAAACAGTATAAATTATAAAGCATGGAATGGAGTCATGTAATTACTAATTTCTGGTGAGATTTCCATCACTTAGATGTGAGGCTTCTTTTATACTTAAAGTGTCTTCTAACTGATTGTGTTCTAACTATACCTGAATTATGTACCAATAACCTTTTTTTTGAGACAGGGTTTCTCTGTGTAATAACCCTGGCTGTCCTGAACTTAATCTGTAGATCAGGCCAGCCTCAAACTCAGATCCACCTGCCTCTTCTTCCCTCACAGCTGGAATTAAAGGAATGTGCTGCCACCACCACCCAGCTTGCCAATAATTTTTAATATTTCTTTTACTAAAAATTGCTATTATGCTAGACAGTTGTGGCACATGCCTTTAAACCCAGGTCTCTGGAAGCAGATGTAGGCGTCTGTCTGAGTTCAAGGCCAGCCTTGTTTACAGAGTGAGTTCCAGGATAGCCAGGTACACAGCGAAACACTTGTCTCAAAAAAACAACAGCAACAAATTGCTATTATTTAATTAGGTTTTGTTTTACTGCTGATAAACTGGGTTGATTTATAAATTGTTTCATATATTTTTTGCTTTATTCCCCACCGATCTGATTTTATTCAGGCAAGCTGATGAAGAATTCCAGATTCTGGCAAACTCTTGGCGGTACTCCAGTGCATTTACCAACAGAATATTTTTTGCCATGGTGGATTTTGATGAAGGTTCTGATGTATTTCAAATGGTAAGATGTTTGATTTTTTTCTTGTATATAGGAATAAAGCATGGATAAAGCAAAATACAATTTTGATGATTACAAGAAGTTAAATAGTGGGGCTGGAGGTATGGCTACTTGGTTAAGATCACTCATTCCTCTTGCAGAGGACTTGGGTTTGATACCCAGCACCCACATGGTAGTTCAAAACCATCCATAACTCCACTTCCAAGGAACCTGATGCCTTCTTCTAGTCTTCACGGGCAGCAGGCATGCATATAGTACACATACATACATGCAAGCAAAACACTCATACACATAAATCTAAAAATATTGTTAAGAAGTTAAATAGGAATACTTTAATGCAAAAGCTAGAGTAGCTAGTAAACTAAAAGCAAAATTTGACTAATCAAAAAAAGTCAGTAACCAACGCCAACCAGCATGTTGTGTGGCATGGTCTGTGTACACTTTTAAGTGTGTTGTGTGGCATGGTCTGTATAGCAAAGGCTGGATACAAACTTCCAATCCTTTCTCCTCCATCTCCCAAGTATTGGGACTATAAGTGTTCATCATCCTACCTGATAACTTACACACATACACACTCAAACACACAAATGTGTGTGTGTGCATGTAAAGCAGAGAGGAATTTGTTCAATGTGGGAAGAACAGATGACTAGTGGCTCCTTCTATTGCTACTAGTTTAAACAGAAGAATTGGGCAGTGGGGAGAGGTATGTGTAATTAATTAAACAGCCAGGTGAAGGTGTCATCTGATCATTTTCTCAGTTCTGGTTCATCAAGATGGTCAATCCAAAGTCAACATAGCTTGGGATCAATCTGGTTCCCCCAACATCATCTCTGCTCCAGAATACAGCCCTGTCTTCCAGATAATTGCCTTATTTCACAGAAGGTTGTTCCTGTCCTTCAAGGATTTGTTTTTCTGGGACTTACACAAATTTTATTTTGTAAATATATAAAGAACAAGCCAGGCACTTGTTCCTATACTCCTAGCAGTTGGAAGGTGCCTATTCTGGAACTTGCTGTGCAGACTTGACTGACCTCCAACTCATAAATATCCACCTGCCTCTGCCTCTCCAGTGCTGGGGTTACAGATGTGTGACTACATGTCTGGTGTTTTATTTCAAGACAGGGTCTTGCCAAGTGTCCAAGCTTGTCTTAAACTCAGAGTATTGCTCTAACAGTCCTTTAACCTGAACTCTTCTTGTTTTAGTATCATGAGGTTGTAACAGCCATATAAAATAAGTTTAGGTGTCATGAATGTATACCTAACTTTTTAAGAATTTCTGAGCAACCTTAAATAACTGGTATGGGAAATTTCCTATTCAAGTTAAAAAAAATTGTATGTTACCTAGAAATTTCTATTTGGATAATAAAATGAAATTGTTACAGTCAGGGGTAGCCTTGCATTTGAAAGCCAACTCCACAACGCTCCTTAGATAATCACGATCTTCATGTGTGTGAAAAGCCTGAATTTCTCCCAGGCATGTTGGTACATTCTTTTAATCCTAGTACTCAGCAAGCAGAGACAGGAAGATTATTGCAAGTTCAAGGCCAGCCTGGTTGACACAGCAAAACCCTGTCTTAAAAAAAATGTTTAATTTTAAAAATTAGTTGCCGTTAAGGTTATTTTCTTGGTAACTTAATGTTTCCATGGACTATTTTTGATTCAGCTAAACATGAATTCCACTCCAACTTTCATCAACTTTCCACCAAAAGGAAAACCCAAAAGGGCTGATACATACGAGTTACAGGTGCGAGGGTTTTCAGCTGAACAGATTGCTCGCTGGATCGCAGACAGAACTGATGTCAATGTAAGTTTCCCTACTTTACAAAAAGTCTTTTTTTCACTGTCTTTGAATCTGAACTGGGAGTCATAGCTGGTCTTGTCTTCATGTCACTGAGATGGAATCATTTGGTAGATCTTTCATAAGTAGGATTTAACAGGATCATCTTGATAAAAATTAAAAAATTTTACTCATCTTGAGTAAAATTATAAAATACCTTGTCTTAGCCTGTTGAGTTCAGAACAATTAGAAACCATTTTCCTGACCATAAGTGTGTGTACTTGGCAAAATTTCTTAATATAAGGGGTATTGTGTTTTAATTGAAATAATACCGTGCCTGTTACATATTATTTCTAGGGTATAGTTTTGACTGGAGTAATATGGTTAAAAATATTTTTCCTGGGGAACCCTGATTGCTCTTCAAGCAGATGAGGGAGGGGGACTTGATCGGGGGAGGGGGAGGGAATTGGGAGGCGGTGGTGGGGAGGAGGCAGAAATCCTTAATAAATAAATAAATTTAAAACAAAAGAAGAAACCAAAAGAAGAAAAAAAGAAAGAAAAAGAAAAAAAATATTTTTCCTGAAAATACGTTTTTGACTGCTTTCATTTCATTATTATTAATTAGAAAATAAATTTTATATCTTAGAATGTTTTTCTCTCTCTTTTCCATTAGATTAGAGTAATTAGACCTCCAAATTATGCTGGACCCCTAATGTTGGGATTGCTTCTGGCTGTTATTGGTGGACTTGTGTATCTGCGAAGAAGCAATATGGAATTCCTCTTTAATAAAACTGGATGGGCTTTTGCAGCTTTGGTAAGTGAATTGAAAGAGAAAAGTTGATTGAAAAAGAACTTAATCTATTTTCTTTACCCTTTTTCTTTTGTTTTCTTTATTGTTCTTGTGTATAAGCCACAGATTGCTATTGGGTGGCTTCCTCAGTCACTTCTTCAGCTTATTTTATGAAATGAGTCTCCCTGAACCAGGAATTCACTAGTGATTCCTAGAGAGCCTCCTGTCTCCATATCTTTAGTGCTGATATTACAAGCGCATACTGCTGCACCCAGAATTTTTTCTTGGGTTCTGTTAGCTGTTACCTCTGTGAAAAGTACTTTTTGGTGTGTGTGTGTGTGTGTGTGTGTGTGTGTGTGTGTGTACGCGTGTACATGTACTTGTACATGCATACAACTGCACATGCATAGGCCAGAAGAGGATATCCAGAGTCATTCTCTGTTGTTCTCTACCTTTTCTCCCATCCCCAAGACAGGGTTTCTCTGTGTAACAGCCCTGGATGTCCTGGAACTCACTCTGTAGATCAGGCTGGACTTGAACTCAGAGATCCACCTGCCTCTGCCTCCCCAGTGCTGGGTTCAAAGGCGTGTACCACCATAGCCAACTCCACTTTTCTTCGACAGGATCTAGAACTGAGCCTGAAGCTCCCCGTTTGGGCTAGAGCAGATGGCCAACAAGCTCTTGGGCTCTTCCTGTCTGTTCCTCAACACAAGGACTCTCTAGGATGTCCAGCCATGCTGGGGATTTAGACTCGGGTGCTCTTGTTTTCACAGCATGCAGTCTTATCCGCTGAGCCATTTACTCAGCCCGATTTTTGTTGTGGTGAGAGTGCATGTTGGTGCTTGTTCGTGGAGATGTGAGTATGTGCTCGTTTGTGTGGAGGCCAGAGGTGAACTCAAGTGTTCTTCCTTAGGCTCAGTCTACCTTGGGATTTGTTGTTGTTTTCAGGAGGTGTCTCACTGATTAGAGCAAGGTTGGCTGGAGGACTGAAGAGGGCACTGGATCCCTGGAGTTATAGGCATTTGTGAACTGCCTAACAGAGGTTCTGGGAACCAAACTCCACTATTTTACAAGAGAAGCAAATGTCTAGCCAGTGCCCTCAGCTTTTTTATTTGGATTCTGGGAATTGAACTCAGGTCACTGTTTTGTTTGAAAGCACCTGAGCAAGGCAACTTCTAAAAGACAGCCTTTCACTGAACTAGAGTTCATGATGGTGGAGTGAAGGAACAGCTGAGAGCCCACATGTCATCCACAGTCAGGAGGCAGAGAAGACACTGGGAACAGCACAATACTTTTGAAACCTTAAAACTCACCCCCAGTGACACACCTCCAAAAAAGTCACATCTCCAAATCCTTTCCTGTAGCACCCGGCTTACTACATGACAGTATGATACTACTCCTGTATTGCGGTGCCTGCACTATAGGACCATTCGTGAGCCTCAGGCAAGGGGCTGGAGATTGAAACACACACCTCTAGTCACTGGTAAAGAAGCCCTTTATTGAATAGCACCACGGAGGCTTATATACTCAACACAGTCAGGTGGGCCAGCAGGTGAAAACCTCATCTCCTGATCCTCAATCAAGGACAAGGTAACACATGCTCAGGAAGCAGAACTGGTCAGAGCTTTCAGTAGCACAAATCAGAAGGCCAAGTAAAGGAGAGCAACTGGAGGCCAGGACTCCAAATGGTCCCAACACTTTCCAAACAGTTCTGCCAGCTGGATACCAACCATTCAGACATAAGAATTTATGGATCTGTTTTAGTCAGTGTTCTTCTATTGCTGTGAAGAGACACCATAACCGTAGCAACTCTTACAAAGAAAAGCATTTATTTGGTACTTGGCTTACAGTTCAGAGGTACAGTCCATTATCAACATGGTGGGAAGCATCGTGGCGTGCAGCCAGACATGGTGCTAGAGAAGGAGCTGAGAGTTCGACATCCAAATCCACAGGCAGAAAGGAGAGAGAGAGAGAGAGAGAGAGAGAGAGAGAGAGAGAGAGAGAGAACGAGAACACACCACTAGGCCTGACTTAGGCTTCTGAAACCCCAAAGCTTGCTCCAAGTGACACACTTCCTCTAGGCTCATTTAGTACATATAGTACAAATTCAGTAGACCCCATGTTCATTCATCACCCTCCATCATGTGGGTCCTGGAGATCAAATACATTGTCAAGCTTTTGTGGCAAATACTTTTATATGCCAAGCCATCTTTCTGGTCCTAAGATTTTCTATATTTTTATTTCCTGTCTTAAAATGAGTTTCTTTCCCTCGTTATCTTATTAGGTTTTCCAAAGTTTCAAGCAACTGATTCTGTTTATAGTTCTTTTTTATATTTTATTTTATGTTTAGCGTGTGTGTATGTGTTGGGGGTTATGTGCATAAGTGCAGGTATATATAGAGGTCAGACGGGGCCATTTGATTCCTTAGAAACTGGAGTCACGGGAAGTTATAAGCCACCCATCGTGGGTCCTGGGAACCAAACTCATATCCTCTGCAAGAACAGTATGTATATTCTCGCTATTCCTAGTTACAGTTCTTTTGAAAATGTTTTTGAATGTATTTTCTTTTTTTTTTCAAGACAGGATTTCTCTGTGGCTTTGGAGCCTGTCCTGGAACTAGCTCTTTTAGACCAGGCTGGCCTCAAACTCACAGAGATCTGCCTGCCTCTGCCTCCCAAGTGCTGGGATTAAAAGCGTGTGTCACTACCACCCGGCTTCAAATGTATTTCAATATTGAATTTTGAAACTTCTCTGTTTATAGTTTAAAATTCCCTCAGAAATGATGTTGAATTGTGATCCTTTTGACAAAATATAAACCTTAATAAAGAAATAATTTTTTTGGAAAAAATAAAGTCTTGTGTTTCCTGAATGGATAAGCATTTTCATGTACCTGCTTAACTAATCAATATGGGCTAGCTGGACCATGAGTATTCCGATATATTTGTTTCCTAGTGTTTTGTACTTGCTATGACATCTGGTCAGATGTGGAACCATATAAGAGGACCACCATATGCTCATAAGAATCCCCATACAGGACATGTGGTAAGTTGTTCATTTCTTTGCATTATATACCAAAGTTGATGTAATATGATTACCTTGTGAAGCCAGAGCCAGCATATACAGGAACTAGATAGAGTTTTGCCTCTTTGATCCCTGTTATGGAGCTTCAGGTACAATTAGAGCATGTGGTCTTCCAAAGTGGGATGTTCTTTCTTCCATTTCTTGAGTTCTTTTGACTAGGATGGCTAAGAAAATCATTCTCAAACTAAATATAAGAGTTAGTCAACTATTTGAGCATCTGTTATTTCTAGTACTGTGCTAGGCACTATCAGACATGGTGATTAATTGGAAAATTGTGGTTCCTATTGTCATGTCTACATTGTTTTTTACCTCATAGTTTTATACTCTTAAATATTATTTTTCTCATACACTTTTGTTAAATAGATAGTATAAATACAAAGAAAGAAGTAAATAATATAGAAATAGCTTTTAGTAGACGAATAAAGTATGGTACATACATACAGCAAGTGAATTGATGATTTCATAAAGTTTAACATACTTTATTTTAGGGTTAGGACACTGCAATTCAATGTATAATTTAAAGGTTCCTTTTTGTCTTCCTCTCCCAGAACTATATCCATGGAAGCAGCCAGGCCCAGTTTGTAGCTGAAACCCACATTGTTCTTCTGTTCAGTATCCTTTTACAATAAGTCTTTATTGTTCCATTTTAATTTGATTGTTTTCTTACAATCTTATGTCCTCTATACAGATTTGGTTGGAGCTTCTGTCCTAATGCAGGCAATAATACTTTTTGGGAATTGTATTGCTTGTGTCTTCCTTCTTGACCCAATATCTTATAGACTAATAATAGGCAAACCTTTAGTCTGGCAAAGCCAGGTTGATTAGCCATTGATGTATGGATTTAGAAGAAAAATGAGGTTTAGGTGAGACTTAAAATGAAACATTAAGAGCTGGAGAGATGACTCAGCGGTTAAGAGCACTGGCTGCTCTTCCAGAGGTCCTGAGTTCAATTCCCAGCAACCACATGGTGGCTCACAATCATCTGTAATGAGATTTGGTGCCCTCTTCTGCTCTACAGCATACATGCATACAGAACACTGTATGCATAATAAATAAATCTTTAAAAAATGAAACATTAAGCTGAGTGTGGTATCACACATCTTTAATCCCAGCACTCATGAGGCAGAGGCAGGCCAATTTCTGGTTTACAGAGCAAATTCAAGGACAGCCAGAGCTATTACACAGAGAAACTCTGTCTCGAGGAAAACAAACAGAGAGATAAATTAACAAATGTAAAATGAAATGTCATTTTAATACACTAAAAGCATAATTGGGACTGAGATATACCTCATTGGTATAGCACTTACCTATCATGCACAAGACCCTGATTTCTAGTGTCCTTCAGAGAAAACCTAGATATAAGAGCCACAGTAAGTAAAAGAAAAAATGCTGGCTGAGTAGATTAAATAAAAAAGCAAAACCAAAAATAGCATTGGGCTGGAACGAAGGCTCAAGCAGGGTGCCTACTTACCCACCCTGACAACCCAAGTTGGATCTCCAGGACCAATATGGTTGAAGGAAAGGACCAATTTCTGCCAGTTGTCTTCTAACCTCTACACATCTGCTGTGACGTAAGTGCAAACAGGTACACTGTGTCTCACACACACACACACACACACACACACACACACACACATACAGATTAATTAATTAAAAACATGGAAAATGAACAGTCATTCCTAACAAGAGGCTGTTTACGAGAGAGCACAAGATGGTAATGAAGAGATGAATGTAATCAGTTACAGAGCTTCGTTAGAACACCTGACTCTTAGCACTTAATTACAGCCACATGCAGTAGCATGCAGTGTGCATCATGTACATAATTAGCAGTGTGTGACCATTCCTAGTACTCACAAAAGTACAGGTGATGGTCTCTTTTCTGCTAGAGCATAGGCACTGATACTGCTCATTTCATTATTCAACCATGTGATGTGCTTTTTGTTTACAGTAGTATTTCTATTCTGAATTATATAGCTACTGTTATTAAAATGAATAAGGTCATGCCACATGAGGGATTTTCCTTTTTCATTAGAATAAGACAAAATTGGGTATCTGAATCATAATTAGTACTCCAGATGTTATTTGTTGAAAATCTGAAGAAGTTTTTGAGATTATTTTCTATTAAAAGTGAGTTGCTATTGTTTTAAATGGTGTGTATTTCAAGTATGCCCTTTTCAGGGGTGTTAAATTGATAACAGTGACTACTTAGTATTTTGTAGTGTGTATGAAGTTGGAAAACTGTTGTGATCAGGCAGTTTGTTTTAAGGTATGATATCCAAAAAGCTGATTTTCTATATAGGTGGAATTTTTGTGGTTGCTGTTTTTGTTTTGCTTTTTTGAGACAGGATTTTTCTGTTTGGCCCTGGCTGTCCTGAAACTTCCTCTGTAGACCAGGCTGGCCTTGGTCTCACAGAGATCTGTCTCCCTCTGCCTCGCAAGTGCTGGAATTAAAGGCGTGTGCCACTACCACCAAGCATAGGTGGGATTTTTTTAAAATTACATTTGACTTTACAAAACTGAAGTATTTTCAACTTTAATTCTTTTGGGGGGGTACCAGTTTGGGGGTATTCATTTGTTTTGTTTCTTTAAGACAGGGTCTCACTCTGTAGCACTGGGTGGCCTGTACTGTATAAACCAGACTGACTTTGATCTCACAGAGATGTGCATGCCTTTGCCTCCCAAATACTGGGATTAAAAGTACCACCTTACCAGGTGCATGGGGCCAGCGTTTGTTTTATTTTGTTTTTTCTTTTTTAGACAAGAGTCTTATATAGCCCAGGCTGGCCTTGCTTTACCAAATGCCTGGTTTAACCTTACTTTTCAATTTAATCTTTATAGTAATTAACACTGTGCAATATAAGAGTGTTTTGGTTACTGTTTTAAAATAAAAAATTGAAGGTTTATAAATTCATCTTATTTTCTTCATGAGAAACTGGGAATAGGAAAGTGATATGTCTTTTGTGGCTTATATGAATTTCTCCTTAAACAGTTTTTCTAAGATGGCGGGGTTACCTTAGGCATGGTGCTTTTATGTGAAGCTGCTACCTCCGACATGGATATTGGGAAGCGAAGGAGTAAGTCACATGTCACGGTGTTCCAATTCTGCCTTTAATACAAAAAAAAAAACCTCTCTAGTTAATTTTCCCTTTATAATCTATTTCTTTACACTTTTTTATTTGATCAGTTGTTTTTTATTTTGAGATAACTATGTTATGTGGCCAAAATGACCTTGAACTTCCAATCCTCTTGCCTCAGCCTCCTCTGTGTTCATCATTTCACTCATAAGACCATCTTGTAGCCAGGCAATGATAGCGCACACCTTTAATCCTGGCACTTGGGAGGCCGAGGCAGGTGGATCTCTGTGAGTTTGAGGCCAGCATGGTCTACAGACCAAGTTCCAGGACAGCCAGGGCCCTGTCTCAGAAAACTAATACTAAAATAAAAGCAAATAAAAAACCATAAGAACATCTGGGGTTTGTTTATTTATCTATCTATCTATCTATTTATTTATTTATTGAGACAGGGTCTCATATAGCCTAGATCAGTTTCGAACTGACTGACCTTGAATTTCTGATCCTCTTGTCTCCACCTTTCAAGTATTAGGATTTATCAACTGAGCCACTTACCTAGCTCCATCTGTAAAACACATTTTAAAAACTGTATATGTAGGAACCAGACTTGATGCTACTGGCCCATAATTCCATACATTCAGGAGGGTGAGGTAGGAGGATTACAAGTTCAAGGCCTAACTGATCTATAAAATGAGATGGAACTCAGACAGCAACTTAGTAAGACCCTGTCTTAAAAGAAAAAAGTAAAAAGGGGACTGGGCATGTAACTAACTCTGTTGTAGAGTACTTTCCTAGAGTATACTGGGCTCTAGATTCAATCTTCAATATACCAAAACAAAACAACAGGAAAAAACTATGGGCAGGCCTGGGGATAGAGCTCTAAGATGGAGTGATTGTCCTTCACAGACAAGGTCACCAATACTACAGAAGTGTGTGTGTGTGTGTGTGTGTGTGTGTGTGTGTGTCTTGTACTCACTTTAAACATTGAACACTTGGAGCTGAGCGGTGGTGGTGCACCCCTTTAATCCCAGCACTCGGGAGACAGAGGCAGGCGATCTCTGTGAGTTCGAGGCCAGCCTGGTCTACAAGAGCTAGTTCCAGGACAGGAACCAAAAAAAAAAAAAAAAAAACTACGGAGAAACCCTGTCTCAAAAAAATCCAAAAAAAAAAAAAAAATTAAACACTTGGGAGGCAGAAGTAAAATCGATGCAAGTTCCGGGCCAGACAGGGAATGTTGAAGACCTTTCTTTCAAACAAAATAAAAACCTTACTGCCGGGCGGTGGTGGCGCACGCCTTTAATCCCAGCACTCGGGAGGCAGAGGCAGGCGGATCTCTGTGAGTTCGAGACCAGCCTGGTCTACAGAGCGAGTTCCAGGACAGGCTCCAAAGCCACAGAGAAACCCTGTCTCGAAAAACCAAAAAAAAAAAAAAAACCTTAGATGGGGAGTGGCAGCAAACACCTGTAATTCTAAAACTTGGGACGTCAGGGCTAAGAAAATCACTAATAAGGTCTTGAACCCCAGGCTGCATCTGCTTTTTATGCTTTAGAACATTTGCATATTGTTGAGTGTGGCAGCATAGTCTATAATCCCAGCATGCCAGACTGAGACAAGAGAATTGCTGCCAATTCAGGCTTTCCTGTACTATGTAGTAAAACCCTGACTCATAAACAAAAAGTCTGTACAAGGTGCACACTTGCAATCCAAACACTTGGGAGGTGGAAACAGAAAGAATAAGGAACTCAAGGTTATTCTTTGCTATATAGTGAGTTTGAGGTCATCTCAAATAACAAGACCCTCTATCAAACAGATACACATTGGAAGATGCCTACAATATAATTTCTTAAAATTATCATAGATAATATTTATTTTCTGTAAAAAGATGAGTATATTAGATTTCTGATTTGACAGCTACTTTTGCCAAACATGGTGGTGCATACCTATAATCCCAGCAATTAGGAGGCAGGTGTGAGTTTGAGGCCAGTTTGGTCTACAAAGCAACTTCCAGGCCATTCACTGCTATATAGTAAGACCCTGTCTCAAAAAATATAAAAACAAACCCTGTTACAAGAAGAATAGATATTTATTAACCATTTAATATATAATACATGTATGATATTTAAATTTTCTAGATTTTTTAAAAGTATTTTCATTTATTATTTCCTCTGTGTGTGTGCATGCATGCATGTGAATGTGTGTGAACACGACACAACATGGATGTTGAAGTCAAAGGACAACTTGTAGGAGTCCTTTCTGTCCTACTGTGTTGTGTGGGTTTTGGGGCTCAAATTCATATAGTCAGGCTTGGCAGCAAACACCTTTTCTTAATGAACCACCTTGTTGGCCCAATTATGATTTATTTTTAGTTTTTTTTTTTACTTTTTAAATTTTGATTTTAATACGTCCAACCCGTTTCCCCTCCCTCCATTCTTCCTGTTACCTCTGCCACCTCCCCTATCCCCCAGATCCACTCCTCCTCTGTTTCCCTTCAGAAAGAGCATGCCTCCCAAGAATATCCACCAAACACAGCATAGCAAAATACCATATGTTTTATTCTTAAAATGTTCGCAGAGCAGCTGCCAGCCCGGCAGAGACGGCTGTGGGTCCCTGCAAGATCCCCGGGCTTATGAGCAGTGGCCCATCCCGGGCGGGCAGCCCCCGCCATGCAGCGAGCAGGCAGAGTCAGCCTGCGGCGGGTCCGGGGAGAGCCAAGCGGCTGCAGTTTCCTGCCCAGGCCGAGCTAGCGAGCCAAGCGAGCTAGTGTAAATTGCACTAGGTGGCGGCGGGTAAAAGACACCTAGACACAGAAAATAGACATGAACATTTATTAAAGAAGAGAGGGAGAGAGAGAGAAAGAAAAGAAGGGAGAAGCGGGGAACACACGTGCTCCAGGAAGGGAGGGCAGCAGGAGAAGGGCTTCAGGATGACGTTGAGAGATCAGAGGTTGCTGCGAGTGGGTGGAAAGGGGCGGGGACCAAAAGAATAACAATAGGCACAAACAAACAAATCAAAGCTGGATGAGGCAACTCAGTAGGAGGAAAAGGCTCCCGAGAGCAGGTAAAAAAAAGTTAGAGACACTCCTGCCCCCACTGTTAGGAGTCTCATAAAAACACCAACTGAACAAACATATGCAGAGGACCTAGTTGAAAATCATGCCACCTCAGTCTCTGTGAGCCCCTATGATTCCTATTTAGTTGAAGTTTGTAGGCCATGTTCTCCCCGTGTCTTTGAACCCCCTCCTACATTTCTTCTTCCTCCTCTTCCTTGGGGTTTCCCAAGCTCAAAGGAGAGGGATCCAGTGGAGATCTCCAGTTTGGGCTCTCTCTCTGCTTAATGTTCAGCTGTGGATCTCAGCATTTGTTCCCATCAGCTGTCAGTGGTAGCCTCTTTGATGATGATTGGGGTAAGCAGTGATATATGAATATATAAGGATATTGTTAGTAATCATTTTATTAATTTTTTTCTAAAATCGGTCCCTGGGCTATCCAGCCTCTAGTTCCTGGTCATTCAGGTGTTGGGCATGGACTCCCTCCCAGGCTGTGGACCTCAGATTAGACAAGTCATTGGTTGGCCACTCCCACAAGTTCTGTGCCTCCATTGCCCCAGTACGTCTTATAAGCAGGACAGACAGACTATAGATAAAAGGTTTTGTGGCTGGGTTGTTGTCCCAGTCCCACCTCTAAAAGCCTTGCCATAGTTAAAGAAGATGGCCAGACCAGGCTCTGTATCCTCCTTTACTACAGGTCCTCTGTGAGGTCATCTTCGTAGAATCCTGGAAGTTTCTACTGAACTCAGTTTCCATATTTCACATGCAACCAAAATCCCTCCAATTCCAGTCATCTCTCCTAGTACTCTTCCTCCATCACCACCCCCACCACATCTGATTCCTCCAGTACCCATCACCACCCACCCCCAGTCCACCCAATAAATCTATTTCCCATATATATATATATATATATATATATATATATATATATATGCATCCCCCTTTTACTTATTATTATATAAGCCCTCCTTATTACTTAGCACTTCTGGGTCTGTGGATTATAGTCTGATTTTCATTTACTTAACAGCTAACACCCACTTATGAGTGAATACATACCATGTTTGCCTTTCTGGGTCTAGGTTGCCTCACTCAGGATAATTTTTTTTCTATTTTTTGTTTTTTTGAAACAGAGTTTCTCTGTAGCTTTAGCTATCCTGGAACTCACTCTATAGACCAGGCTGACCTCAAACTCAAAGAGATTCTCCCAACGTGTATGCTACTACCTCCCAGCTGACTTTTTTCTATTCCTACTTTTTTTCATTTCCTTGCAAATTTTATGGTTATTTTTTAACAGCTAAGTAATACTCCATTTTGTAAATGTACCACATCTAATTCATCTATTCTTTAGTTGAGGGACATCTAAGTTTGTTTCCAGTTTCTGGCTATTATAAATAAAGCTGCTATGAACATAATTGAGCAGTTGTCCTTATGATAGGATGGACTCCCCTTTGGGGATATGCGTAACTAGTATAGCTGGGTCTGGAAGTAGATCAATTCCCAATTTTGTAATAAACCACTATATTGATTTTCATAGTGGCTGTACAAGTTTGCATTCCCACCAGCAATGGAGGAGTGTTCCCCTTATTCCACATTCTCTCCAGCATAAGCTATCATTAGTGTTTGATCTTAGCCACTCTGACAGGTGTAAGATGGAATCTCAGAGTAGTTTTGAGGTGTATATCCTTGATGACTACAGATTTTGAGTATTTGTTTCTTGGCCATTTTGTTCCTCTACTGAGAATTCTCTGTTTACATTGTACCCCATTGCTGTGGGATAATGCTTTTGTACTTGGTAAAAATTTGTCACTCGTATTTGTTTAATAAAATGCTGATTGGCTAGTTGCCAGGCAGGAAGTATAGGCAGGGCAACCAGACTAAGAGAATTCTGGAAAGAGGAAAAGCAGAGTGAGTTGCCACCCAGATGTAGAGGAAGCAAGATGACAATGCTGCACTGATAAAAGGTACCAAGCCACATGGCTAAACATAGACAAGAATTAGGAATTAATTTAAGTTTTAAGAACTAGCCAAGGGCTGGAGAGATGGCTCAGTGGTTAGGAGCATTGCCTGCTCTTCCAAAGGTCCTGAGTTCAATTCCCGGCAACCACATGGTGGCTCACAACCATCTATAATGAGATCTGGTGCCCTCTTCTGGCCTGCAGACATACACACAGACAGAATATTGTGTACATAATAAATAAATATTAAAAAAAAAGAACTAGCCGGTAGGATTTACTGAAGGAGGCAGAGGCAGGAGGATCACGAGTTCAAGGCCAGCCTGGGCTACACATTAAAAAAAAGAACTAGTTGATAACAAGCCTGAGCTAATAGGCCAAACATAATTAATATAAGCCTTTGTGTGTTTCTTTGGGATTGAATGGCTGTGGGACCAGGTGGGATACCCCATTTTAAAAATTGGATTATTTGTTTTATTTATACCTAATTTATTTAGTTCTTTATATATTTTGGATATTAGCCCTCTATCTGATGTGGCATTGGAGAAAATCTTTTCCCATTCTATAGGCTGCTGATTTGGTCCAATAATGGTGTCCTTTGCATAACAAAAGCATTTCAGTTTCATGAGGTTCCATTTATTAGCTTTTGATTTTAGTGTCTACAGTATTGGTGTTCTATTGAGGAAGTTGTTTTCTGTGTCAATGTGTTCAAGCTACTCCCCACTTTCTCTTCTATCAGGATCACTGTGGCTAGTTTTATTTTGAGCTCTTTTATCCAATTGGACTTGAGTTTTGTGCAGGGTGGTAAATCTATTTGCATTCTTCTACATGCAGACATCCAGTTTGACCAGCACCATTTTTTGAAGGTATTTTCTTTTTTACATTGAATAATTTTGATCCTTTTATAAAAAGTCGGGTGTCTTGGCCTGGCACTGGTTGGCATACACCTTTAATCCCAGCACTCAGGAAGCAGAGGTAGGCTGATCTCTGTGAATTTGAGGTCAGTCTAGTCTACAGAGTGAGTTCCAGGACAACTGTCTCAAAAAACAAACAAAAAATGAGGTGTCCGTAGGTGTGTGAATTTACATCAGGGTCTTTGATTACATTCCATTGATCCACCTGTCTGTTTTTATGCCAATACCATGCTGTTTTTATTACTGTAGCTATATAGTAGAGCTTAAAATCAGGGATAGTAATACCTCCAGCAGATACATAGACAAACACAGATGTATAATGAGTATTATAAAATAAGTAAATCTTAAAAGCAAAGGGCCGTGTGTGGCTGAACACACGTGTAATTCAACACTCGGGAGATAAAGCATAGAGCCAGCAGTTCAAGGTCACCCTGGTCTACGTGGGGAGTTCAGATGAAAGCATCCCCTTTGTATATAGCAAATTCTAAGCCAGCCGGGACTATGTAGTGAGACTACCTTTTTTGTTGTTGGTTTTGTTTTTTCAAGATAAGGTTTCTCTGTGTAGCCCTGGCTGTCCTGGAACTCACTCTCTTTAAAACAGACTGACCTCAAACTTGTAGAGATCCCCCTGCCTCTGCACCACCACTGCCCAGCTAGTGAGACTATCTTAAAAAAAAAAAGATGTCGGGTAATGGTGGGACATGCCTTCAATCCTAGCACTTCGGAGGCAGAGGCTGGCAAATATCTGTGAGTTCAAGGCCAGCCTGGTCTACAGAGTTAATTCCAGGACAGACTCCAAAGCTACACAGAGAAACCCTGTTTCAAAAAGCCAAAAAAAAATGTGCCTTAGATTCTTCTCATAACCCTCTTCCTCCTAGCCCTTGTCTTCAGAATCCATATTAAAATGATAAATCCTGTCTCTAAAAATGGGGCTTAAATCTTTGGGAAAGCTGTTTCTTAGTCAGTTTTCCTGTTTGGAAGTGTGCAGCATACACTGTACTGGTGATTTACTAGGTGCAACCTGATGGTTTTACTCTCTTCTTTTCTCACAGTGATGTGTGTAGCTGGAATCGGACTTGTTGTGCTATTCTTCAGTTGGATGCTCTCTATCTTTCGATCAAAATACCATGGTTATCCATACAGGTATATTCTTATTTTACTTATACTTACAATGGTTAGTTAGTGTTGCTTTATAATATTTTATTTTTCCATTTTGTTGTTTTGTTTTTTCTTTTTTTCTTTTTTTATGAGACAGGGTCTCTCTGTGTATCCCTGACTGTCTTGGAACTCACTCTGTAGACCAGACTAGCCTTGAACTCACTGAGATCCACCTGTCTCTAACTCCCAAGGGCTGGAATTAAAAGCGCACATCACTACGGCCCAGCCTATAATATTTTATTGCTTAGCTTTTTATTCCTTCATTTTGAAAAGTCTCCTGGATTCTACTTTTTTGTTTCTATTTTGTTTTGTTTTTGCAACAGGATTTCATCTACCCCAGGCTAGCCTTTAACTCCTGATCCTCGTGTCTCTATCTCCCAAGTTCTGGAATTATAGGCATACACTACCATACTCAGCCTTTTGGAGGGTTTCACTTTCTTTGAGTGTGTGTTTTACGTATTGGTGGTATTTTTTGAGACAGGGTTCTACTATTTATCCCTCACTGACTTGTTTCTCATTATGTAGACCACACTGCCCTATTAATTTGGCAGCAGTGCTTCTGCATCCCAAGTGCCACTAGGGGCATGTACCTCGCCTGGCATGGTTTGTGCGCTCTCTCTCTCTCTCTCTCTCTCTCTCTCTCTCTCTCCCTCTCCCCCCTCCCTCCCTCCCTCTGTCTCTCTCTGTCTCTCTCTGTCTCTCTCTCTCCCTCCCTCCCTCCCTCCCTCCCCCTCTCTCCCTCCCCTGGCCTGGTTTGTGTGGTCTCCTCTCTCTCTCTGTCTCTCTCTCTGTCTCTCTCTCCCTTTGTTTTTGAGACAGGGTCTCACTATATAAATGAGGCTAACCTCCAAATCACAGAAATCTGCCTGTCTTTGCCTCCCAGTGCTAGAAATAAAGGTGTGTATCAACATGCCCAGCTATCTGGTGATTTCTTTTGTGGGTTTACAAGGAGTGTTGTTTGTGAGTTTTTTGTTTGTTTGTTCAAGACAGGACCTATCTGTGTAGCTTTGGCTGTCCTGGAACTCACTTTGTAGACTAGGCTGGCCTCAAACTCACAGAGATTTACCTGCCTCTGCCTCCTGAGTGCTGGGATCAAAGGTGTGAGCTGCCACCACTACCCAGCTTTGTGAGTTTTTTTTTTAATTTTTTTCTTTGTGTGTATGAGAGAATATATATGCTACATGTGTGCAGAAAAGGACATCATTTTTCCTGGAGTTGGGGTTACAAACCACTCTATGTGGTTACTAGAAACTGAACTCAGGTCCTACAGGAGAGCAGCAAACACTCTTAATCACTGAACCATCTCTCTGGCCCCTTTGTTTTTTGTTTCATTGGTGTGTATCTGTGTGTTTTAAGAAGGGGTATCTTCTGGAGCTGGATCTACAGGTGTTTGCCCACACCTCTGTCATGTCAGGTGGCTCACAGCCATGTGGAACTCGGTGCCTCTAGCCTCTGAGGGCACTTGCCCTCAGGCCCACATACTTACACGCAGACACATACATACACATAATTAAAATGAATAACAGTAAATCTTTAAAAAAAACAGAGAGGATTGAGGCCAGCCTGATCTAAAAGAGCTAGTTCCAGAACAGGCTCCAAAGCCACAGAAAAACCCTGTCTCAAAAAAACCAAAAGCCAAAACCAAACAAACAAAAAACAAAAGGAAACAGCCACATAGTTTCAAATGTTCATAGAGATCCCTGTGGCTTAGGGGAGGAAATTGTTATATCATAGGTTCTTGATTTTTGCTGTTACAGGTAACTGAAATGGCGAATAGAATGTGTTGGTTTATAATCTGAGTGTTGGTTAACATAAATTTTTATTTTTTAAAGATTTATTTCTGTCTATATGAGTGTTTTACCTGCATGTATATATGTATGTGTAGCAAGTGCATGCCTGGTGCCCACAGAGGTCAGAAGGGTTTTGGGGCCTCTGAAACTGGAGTTACCAGCAGGTTGTGAGTTGCCATGTGGGTGCTGGGAATTGAACCTAAGTCCTCTACCAAAAGCTGTAAGTGATCTTACCTGCTGAGCCATTACTCCAGCTTCCATAATTTCTGTTTTTATACAACATCATCCTACAGTATACCACTGTGAATACTGAGCCATATGGTATTATAGACCTATACTCCAGCACTCAGAGACAGAGACAGGATCAAATCTGGTTTATCTTGGCCACATAATGAGTTTGAGGCCAACATGGACTATATGAGACACCGTCTCAAAAAAAGAAGACTACTGGATCTTTTAGTGTTTATTTTTTTGTTTTTGATACTCAGGTCATGGTCCATATATTAAAATCAACATACTATGTATTTGTAAGAAGTAAAACTTACTTTTCTATCAGAGTCTAATGTATTTTTATATTTTTTTGTTTCAGCTTTCTGATGAGTTAAAGAGGATTCTAGAGACACATAGACTTTGATAATAATGGAAACTGAAAAATAAGACATATGTGGTGTTTGAAGAAGAATGCAACTCATGTATTTTATATTACCTCTTTTTTGTCAAGTGATTTAAATAGTTAATCATTTAACCAAAAATGTGTAGTGCCTTAACAAGGAATTGTAAGATCATGAAGTATTTGGAATTATTCTCCTCTTAACCTTCCCTTCCCTGTGAACTTATGAAACATTTGATTTTTGTAGAATTAGGTACTTTATAAAATTTAAAACTACTACTTCATTTTACATAGAGCAAATGTCAAAACTACTTTAGTTAACTTTTCGTCATCTGATTTTATCTTATCCAAGGCTGGGGATGGAAGGTTCTGAGCAGGAATTTCCACCTCTGCCTGTTACAAACAACTGCATCTGGAAGCCACCATTAGTTTTCATTTGTGCAGATGGGTATGATTTACATCTTTCCTCTTGGACCAAGATATCATATGCACTATTTGAACCTCTGAAAATGGACTGTGTAGCCTTTGGAAAGATAAATCTGTCTTCTACTTGTGTCTTTCCTGCTGAAATCAGAGCTACATATGCCTCTTTTATACATTAAGAAGTACCTCTAACTACAAAACTATGATTTTTGCATGAGTGCGCTCTAACTACCTTGTACATGGAAAGATTTCTGATTCATTCTGTTTCTAGTTTTATTTAAAGTGGCCCTTCTCTAATAATAATAATGTGTTGCCTAAAATCATTATAAGTTATAAATGGTCTCAGATGTTTGTGTATGTTAGTTAGACATTGTCAATCTCATTTTTACCTAACAGAAAAATAAGCTGAGTTGTGTTTATGGAAAGGACTATCTTAGAATGGGAAAAGAAAGTCAAGAAATATTGATTACTGTCTATGGATAGAAATGAAACATTTTGCCAGGCTTGTGGCAGACACAAGCTAAAATCTTTGTGAGTTTATGGCTAGCCTGGGCTACATAGTGAGACCCTGTGTCCAAAAAAAAAAGGACAGAAAAGAAAGAGAAAAAGGCAATGAAATGTTAATGTTTTCAAGCTAAGGTGGTAGCTCAGTGGACGAGTGCTTGCCTAGCATGAGTGACACTCTGGGTTCAATCCTCAATGCCACACGAAAAAATAGTTCTTGAGCCCTGTTCTGTGAGTTATTTTTACTTGTTTGTTTTTAAAGAATGTTCCTTGAAACCTGGTCTTTTGTTTTTTAAAATACATATTCTTTAAAACCTGGGCTAATTTTTAAGTAAGTAGTTTTTGAAGCCTGGTCTGGCTTTTGTTTTTATTTGTGTGTTTGTTTTCTAAAAAAAAAATGTTTCTTGAAACCTGGTCCTTTTTGTTTGTTTTTGCCTTTTTGAGACATAGCTCTGGTTGGTCTTGAATTTCCCAAGTGCTGCGATTATAGGCATGTACCATTGACCCTAGTCTGCTTTCTGCTGTCATTTTAGCTTTTATTTCCCCCATAAATAAGGGATACAAAGAATGGTGGTATGCATGTGTCTCTGCTCTTAGCTATCCTGGTGGCCAAAGTAGGAGCCCTGAAGTCCAAGAATTGGACACATAGTGTGGCATCATATCACACCTCATTTCGTGTCCATAATAAAATTGTGAAGGGATTTTGTTTGAATTTTGTCTTTTTCTGTGATAATGGAAATAACCCTATAGAGGCTAACCAAATTTCCATGAGGAATATTTAAATCATGGGTATAATATGTCTAACTCTGACCTCCACCAGAGTTATGAAGAGTAATTGGAAATGCCACTGTTATGAAAGTGTGAAGTTGGGATGTAGCTCAGTGGTAGAGCCCTTGGCTAGCCTGTGTTAGGCCCTGGGTTCAATCCCCAGCACCACAATAAGTGAGAATTTTAACTGTGAAAAAATGTAAAGAATATTAGAAATATTATATTTAAAAGATACAGAGATGGATATGTGGGTTGAGTTGATGCAGTGCTTGCCTGACATGCAGGAAGCCCTGGGTTTGATTCACTACATCACATAAGCCAGATGTGGTGGTGCATACATGTAATTCCAGCGCACTCAGGAGACAGGTGGGAAGATCAGAAGTTCAAGTTCATCCATGGATGCATAATGTTTAAGGCCAGCCTGAACTACAATGAGACAAAACAAAAGATACTGTGACTGGTTTCATGCTATTGATCATGTAATAGCCTGCCCCTGTCCTATGAACAAAGTTTGTGGAAAGACATCATTGGCCTTGAAGAAATGTTTATGTGGGGTTTTTACTGTCGTTGTTACAAATTCAATGAATAAGAGGATACAGTTGATCCCCTTATAAATTGAGTGATTCTGATTCCTTTTTTTTTTTTTTTTTTTTTTTTTGGTTTTTCGAGATAGGGTTTCTCTGTGGCTTTGGAGCCTGTCCTGGAACTAGCTCTGTAAACCAGGCTGGTCTCGAACTCACAGAGATCCGCCTACCTCTGCCTCCCGAGTGCTGGGATTAAAGGCGTGCGCCACCATCGCCCGGCATGATTCTGATTTCTTATCCACTATTTTTATACTCGTCTCTGCCAAATGGATTTAAGCTATGATTTTTAGGAAACTTGCGTGACAAGGCCCTGACTTGTAAGGTTGAATGGGCAGTATTCCTGCTGTGTAACCTCTGTAGCTTCAGGTCATGTCCCGTGGTCAGTGTTCTATCTGTTTCCTCTGTTTAAGAGCAACATTCTTCATTATGAAGAAAGGCGCATTTGGGCTAAAATCTGTGAAAGCAGGTTTTCTCCGCTTAAAATAGTGTTAATTTTGTGGAAAATTTAAATTTAGCTTTTTTCTGAAGTGCCTTAAGTAGATTCTTAATTTACTTTTCTAGTACTGGTTTAAATATAATTCATTATGGATTTTTAATATACTGTTCAAAAATGATACATTGTTATGGCAAAGATAACCAAATGTCTGGCTTACTGCTTCCTACCAATAAACTTATTCAATCTAAATTGAAGTGTTTGATTCTCCGTTGTATTCATTTCTTTTCTGTTACTGTTATAGGGTACCCTGATTTGAGCACCTTGTGTTCCAGGAGAATGTATTATTGAGAAGACGTCACAGCTGGAGCTTCAAGCCCCCAGGCAGTCAGGAAGCAGAAGAAAAGCAAGAAGTAGAGCCAGGCTATATAACCTCAAAGCCTGTCCCCAATGATCTACCTTTTAAAGGTTCCACAACCCCATGTAACACAAATAATAAAAACCCAGAGACAAATATTGGGTTTCAAGCAGAAGATCAGAAAAGCAAAGCAGCCAAGCTGCTAGAGAAATCTTACCTCTCTCTACCTCAGACCAAAATAGGCGATCCTGCCTCTACAAATCCTTAGATAGACTGAGCTGAGATCTGGCTCCTCCCTTCTTATAGTCCTCTCGAGTAATGGTATTAAAGGCATGCACCACCACCACCATGCCTCTATGGCTGATTAGTGGCTGCTGGGATTAAACGTGTGTGCCACCACTGCCTGGCCTTCAGGCAAACTTTATTTATTAAAACATAAATAATATAGCACTATAACCACACAAACACTACCATTAGCTAGATACCAAACAAATGAGCCAATAAAGGCATTTCCCATTCAAACCACAGCACCTCTCTATAGAGGGGTCAATTTGAAATATCAAAAGAGGATTCTCTCTTAAAAACTTTTCTTGACAGGTGAGATTAGGGGATTGAATATTTGGAAGCATGATGCAAGCACACTGACAAAAGTAAAGATATCAAGATATCCAGGGGTTAGTGCTTGTTCTGTGACCACATGATCTTAGACAAGCCAGTCAAATCTCTCTGAACCTCCTTTATTCTGAGGGGGTGGGTTCTGTTGAACTAAGTTACCTCAAAGATGTATGTGTTTATATTTAAAATAAATAGAATTTTTGGGATTTAGGGTTGGCTTGTCATTGTCATAATTTAGACAGTCTCTTGTAGTGTGAGCTGGCCTCAAATTCACTTGACCTCCTGATCCTCCTGCCACTATACTGGCTTAATCTTTTTAAAAATATCTGTATTCATTTTTGAGAATTTTATACATGCATACAATGTCTTTTGTATATCTATTCACCCTCTAGTCCATCCCATAACTCCTCCCAGATCCTCTGACCAGCTTTGTTTTCTCTTTTTCTTTTTTATAGCACACTCATTCTAATTTGTGCTCCCCATACATTCAATGAGTGTGGGGCTATCCACTAGAGTGTGGTGCTTTTCTTGATTGGATATAATCCAATCAAGTTTGGTGTTGATTTAAATCAGTTGAAATGTGGGGTGTTTTGTAATAACATTTCTGAAGATATTAAGATGCTGGTGAAGAGGATAAATTCAGATTGCTTAATATGTAGTAAGCCAGATTTGATGGCACACACCTGTAATGCCAGCATTTAGGAGGTAGAATCAATAGGATCAGATCAAGGTTCAAGATCAGCCTGAGCTAAGGAGACCCTGTCTCAAAAACATTAAAAAAAAAAAAGCCCCTGCCACAAACGGCTAAGTTCTGGGATTGCAGGCCTGTTTCCAATGACATATTTTTTAAAACTTGTTTTATTTATTATTATTATTATTTGTTGTTGTTGTTGTTAGTGGTGGTGGTGTGTGTGCAAAGGCAGGTGAAAGAGATACGTGTGAGACACATGTGGAGGTTAGAGAACAGAGTCTTTGATTACCTTTGCATGGATTCTGGGGCTCAGACTCAGGTTACTAGCCTTGGAGAGCACGTGCCCTTTGTACACTGTACCATCTTTTCTGCTCCTAAATGAACCATCTTTCTGAATAAAGTTTATTAGACACATGAAAAAAAAAAGCCGGGAGGTGGTGGCACACCCCTTTAATCCCAGAACTCGGGAGGCAGAGGCAGGTGGAACTCAGTGAGTTCGAGACCAGCCTGGTCTACAAAATGAGTTCCAGGACAGCCAGGGCTGTTACACACAGAAACCCTATCTCAGGGGGAAAAAAAGAAGGAAAAAACCCCGAAAACCTGAATTATATTTATTTAAATTTAAATACATATACCTTTAATA